TGCATCCTCCACTGCTGTCCTTGCCAGCACTTACACCGTCAAGGCAGGCTATCGAATAGGATGCGCGAGATCCAAATTCAAAGGAGCTTATTCGGCCGCAAATCGTAGCTTGCGAAACCAATATGCCATCCCATGTGCCCATAACGGCGGGAAATATGCAGTCCTTCCGAAAGAGCGAGGGCCGGTTTGGCCCCTCAAAGATCGGGCGTTCGGGGGCGTCACTGACCGACCTGGTCGGTTCTTGCACTCCCATGTAACCCTACATGGGATCTACTCTGCAGAAAGGGCATCAGAAATACGGGGAACAGTGCAAATAGTCTGGTGCTATTTGATCAAAGTCTCTTTGGCGGGGACCGTAGAACAGTGTATGTATGTGTTGTTTGTTGGTACGACATACTATTTCATGAGGCCGGGCAATCGGCCGATTCAACTTGCACGAGCAACGCGAGCTGAAGGCGGACGACTATTTCCGGCCTCTGGTTGCATGAGGTAGCATACCATGTTGCCGCGTATGTTATCCTTGGTTCAATTTTGCGGTCTTGAGCGGTCTGTGAGGCCAATAGGAGATTTTACTGCTTCCGATGTCGTCGCTGGGCAGTGTAAGTGTGTGGCTTGCGCTGCATTTCTGCACGGTCATGGCGGTGAATAAGCTGGACATTGCGGCAAGAACAGCATTTGAGGCCAGGAGAGCCTTCATACTGCTGAGACTTTGTTACTTGATGGTAGCGTCAGAGGGACAAAAGCGCCGTGAATCCCCTTCATTTGCTGCCACAAACATTTCTACTCATCAGGGATTTATCGGGCTTGGTTCAAGACGTATCACAGATGCAACATTACCACAGCTGTTCTCGTCAGAAGCTTCAATCGGAAACAAGAAAGCGTGCAGAATAATGCATGCTGCCGTCTGCTTAAACAGCTCTGCAAGCTGGCCCTCCAACGGTACGTTTGCCATTTCAGGTCATCCTCGCCCATCGGTTCCTCGGTCCTCCGACCCTACATCAACAGAATATTCTCGGCTCCCAGCATACAAAGGGCCATGCTCCGTAATAGGTCATGTTTATCCCGAAGCAGCGAGCTCTGTACGGTGAAGACGGGACACGAGTGGATACCATGTACGTGCGTGTATGGAAATGTGAATTATGAATTTATGATGCCGTCTGGTGGAGAGATGCACCAGACACGATATAGACGTCAGTCCCCAGGTATAAACTTATGTCCCAGCTGCCTTGCTTTCTACGACATTCATATAACGACGAGTAGCTGGCACCTCCGCACGACAGGATACGTTTAGCCTGCCAACATGGCTGAGATGAAAAGAGCGAATACAAAACAAATACAAGTAGGAAGTAACCTGACCCTCACATTGAAATATTGTGGCAGGCCCGTGCAGCTATGAATGCGCAGAGCATGCAATTGAAGACACCGACACACACGAGACACCGCTTGGCACTCGCTGGCATAGGTCTTGTGTTTTCTGCTGTCCCCTTGGCCTGCCTCTTTCAGGCTGGAATACGGACTAATGGCATCCCAACAAGAGACACGGTCTCGATGGAAGACAAGGGATGTTTTCAACTAACTGGATAGACTGCAGAAATAAAATCAGTATTTCCAACTCATGTGGTTATAAGTGGCATAGCCGCTTACAAACAAGACACTTGCCAGGCCTATTGTGATACTCGCTTCTGATTGGCTGCTGCTGCCCTCTGTCCCAGTATCCATCGCGACGTCAGACGCGGCTGGCCGTTTTGTTCTCCTGCTTCTCACTACCACTCGGCAACCGCCCTACGCCACAAGGATGCCTCCTGGTCCAGTACTAGACGAGGAAGACGAGCAATATGCTTCGTCCCAAGACTCGGACTTTGCTCCCGATGAAGCGCCCGAGCCGGTGTCCGACCAGTCCGATGCCGAAGACGCAGAAGAAGGCGGGAAGAAACGAAAGCAATCAGAGCCAGACGGGCAGGCTCACGACGATGGTTACGATAATTCCGGAGATGAAGCCATCATAGCAAAGGGCAAAAAGAGGCGGAAACGAGCAGAAGAGAAGGGAGAGAAGGGACGCCCCGTGGACGAAGATGAAGGCGGCGAAGGAGGATTGGTCAAGACCCGTGCTCAACGTGCAGCCGAGTGCGTCCCTTCCCAGCCGCTTCTTCTCATGCGATTGACTGCAAGCTAATTTTTTTTTCGTCTCTGAAGAAAGGAGGAGCGCAAGTACGCCGTGAACAATGGTCCCGTCACAATCGACGTGGATGCCCTGTGGGCGCAGATGATTTCCGGCGAGCAAATCAAACCTAGTGCCCCGCCAGTCGAAGCAAATGGAGAGCATACAAGGGAGCCTTCCGACAGCAAGACCGCTCCAACGGCCTCGTCAGATGACCCCCAATCGGACACCATCCGCATCAAGCGCACATACAACTTTGCCGGTCGGGTTCACACCGAAGAGAAGATTGTGGCCAGAGATTCTGCCGAGGCGAAGCTGTACCTTGCGTCCCAGGGCCAGGACACACTCGACGTCGATTCATCGCCAACGAAGCGTGCCACAAGGAAAGCGTTCCGCTCTGCATTCGAGCCCGTTGTAGACGTCAGGCTGGGACGTGCAGACTTGAATCTCGGGCTTGCCGCAAGAATTCAAGCTGGCAAGGAGGCCCGAGCCAAGAAGCTCACTACAGTGGAGAAGAGCAGGATGGATTGGGCGGGATATGTGGACAAGGAGGGAATCAAGGACGAGCTGGAGTTGGCGAGCAAATCCAAAGATTCGTATGCCGCTCGACAGGACTTCTTGGCGAGAAGCGAAGCTATACGGGAGGACGATGCAAGGAGGGCCAGAATAGCCGGGAAATTATGATTACATTAATGGAGGCGCGATTGCATATTCGGGCGTTTGGGATGATACCATGGAAGTTGGGGTTCTGGGTTAAATGGGTCAAACAGAACGGTTCCTGTTCTCGATGTACGATACAGAAGGAAGAGCAATGGCTATTAGCACATGTGCCAAAAATGGTGCTTCACTACTTGAACATTTTCAAAATGAGAATCCAATTCGTCTCAAGTACTTGCTAGATAGTTTTGGTGTTATGTTCTCCCCGTACTTTGAGCACCTTGGGGCCTGGCAACCGTACCTAGTACTCCGTACTTAAGGTAACTGCCAGGTACCTACTTAGGCAGTGGGGCCATCGTCATAAAGTCTATCCCGCCGCTAACGTTCGCTAAGCATAAGGCTGAACATGAGCAGCCTCTCCAAAAATTTATAACATTTTCACGTACCACCTCACCATTACCTCGACATACCACAGGACACCACGAATGATATAATGGCCGTCCTAGGCAAGCGCAAAGCGCCCGCACCATCAATATCTGAACCAGACGCGAATGAACTACTCCGCCGACATTTCGAGGCTAGGTTCCAACCACTCGAAGAAAGACCTTCCAACACAAAGTCGGAAGAACAGGCAGATGAGGGTGACAGTGACGAGGACTCCGAATGGGGCGGATTATCAAACGACGATGCCGCCGGCAGCGATGAGGAGGAAGACGATGACACGGAGGATCTTCTCGAGGACGAGTCCGGCGACGACGGTAGGCTGTTTCCTCCCCGTCCTCGCAATTCACCGTACTGATTGTCGATCGACCAAGATACACCAGCAATCGAAATAATCGACCACTCAACCCCCCAGCTCCCCAAAGAGTCAATGTCCAAGCGCGAACTCAAAGCATTCATGGTCCGCCTCCTCCCCTCCCTGCATCACCAGCCAGACAGAGCTACTAACGCATCATCAGTCCTCGCGGCCCCCAGACCAATCCGCAACCCCCAACCCCATCCAACCCGCCGTTTCCTCCAACCCGTCCACCCTCCCCGAGGACGCACCCTCACTCCTCAAACAGGATCTCGAACTCCGCCGCCTCCTCGCCGAATCGCACCTCCTCGCCCCCCACGCCGCCACCAAGTCCCTCTCGTCCGCGTCCTCCATCGCTGCGCAACCAAAATCCTTTGCGGCAGGTCGAACGCGGCAAAAGGCAACAGACCTACGTGTCCAAGCGCTCGGTTCGAAGCTGTCAATACATAAGCAGGACAAGATGCCGATGCACATGAGAAAGGGCATGGCTGCGGCCGCGGATGCACGCGAGGCCAAGAGGAGACGCGAGGCCAAGGAGAATGGAATCATTCTAGAGAGGGAAACGGGAAAGCAAAGGCGGGCGAGAGGCCGGAGAAGTGATGTTGATAGACCGGGTGTGGGCAGACTGAGGGGTGCCGAGTTGCGCATCAGCGAAAGGGACGTCAAAAGAATTGAGGGTAACCGGGATGTATTTGGGCGCAAAGGGAGAAGATAGATCGCGGCGAGTGTAAATCGAGAGCAAAGCTTAGCATCATTACTTGGGGCAGTAGTTGGCAACAAGAGTCTTCGGGTAGGTCTCTCCCAAGAGCATGCTACCATCGGTGTTGTTTGATTGACAGAGCATGCACCCAAATCCACAAGGAATAGGAGAAAACGCAATTGGGGAAAAAAGACTTCATTTGGTTCATATTTTGTTCGTTTCATTTGAACTACAACAGCGCGTCCAAAGGCATCGCCAAGGACTAACCTCTAAGTTTCGCCCGTCTGCCCCACCGGTTTCGAGTTAAAAGCGATAAATGTACAAAGGCGTCCTATCCTGTGTCTCCATCAGAGTAATATAATCCCCAGTTCTCCGTCTGGGGTCTTCTTAGACGATGGTTTCGTCCTTCCTCGTTCAGCACACTAAGCACACATCTAGGGGTTGTCTCCTCCTTTTCCCACTCATCAGACGCCGCAATAAGAATAAAATGGGGAAACAGAGGGATAATAACACGTAAAATCAGATCAATGGAAATAATATGCAGTAGTAGCTGACTTGGCGGGAGTACCCGAGTGATTTCTCACATAAATAGCTGAGCTAAAAACCCCAGAAAGAGTCATGTAACAAAAAAAAAAAAAAAAAAAAAAAGAAAGAAATGCTGAAATGTATCATGAGATTATCAATCTTTGTTACATCATGCCACTGGCGTTAATCGTAGCTGGTTGGCTAATCGTCATTGGCATGCTGAGGGTTTGCAAGCTGTTGAAGGTCTGAGGCTGGTGCATGGCGCTATTGTTGGCGTTGCTGATGCTATTTGATGAGACGGATTCATTGGCGGCGGCATTAAGAGATGTAGGAACGTATGCAGCCTCAGAAGTAGGGGATGCCTCCTCGACAGAGCCGAGTTGATCTTCACCCGAGTATTCCTCTTCCTCCTCGGCAGAGAGATTGAAAGAACCCTCGCCACCATCTTCGCGGCTGTGGGTACGTTTGTGCCTGCAGGTATGCGAGTTAGTAAATCTCTACCGACAAAGGTTCGGCTCATGTAGCTAAATGGCTGTTTCAAGTAGACTTACTGTGCAAGGTTGTCGGATCGAGAAAATGCTTTGCTGCAATGGGGACAAATGTAAGGCTTCTCTTGAGTGTGCGTTCGGACGTGTCTGGAAAAAAGGTTAGGGTTTCAAAATTTGTGCTGTTGCTATGAAGAAGTTGAGACTTACCTCTTCAAATGCTCGAGACGTTTGAAGAGTCGACCACAGGTTGGAATTGGGCATGAGTGAGACTTATGGGGGTACGGGCCAAGCTCCATCACAGTAGCTGAACGAGCCCGTCGAATGACGCCGCTTGGGCCAGACAGGGTACGGCGGTGGTCTTTGATGACACCGTCATGAGAAAGCTCGTCTCCGAAGGCTGGCTGAAGGGCCATGGGGTTCAGTGCCGGGCTCCCATCTACATTGGACAGTGGCGTACCATGTCGAGACAAATCGACAACATCCTTATGCTGTTGGCTGCCCATGGACATACCAGATGCACTGTAGGAAAGTCCGGGAGGAGAATTATCAGCCGACTCCTCACCTTCAGCCACAGGACCAACAGACGCTGAAACAGATCGTCTCAAATCAGACGGCCTGTGAGCCGCAGTGTTCGGGACAGGCGCACCGGGGATAGCCGACATAGATGGCGGAATCGAAGATCGACGTCGTCGTTGCTTGTATGTCGGGGAGCCTTCAATGACAGAGTAAACATTGTTTGTGCCGTACGAACGGGTGAACTGCGATCCGGCCAGGTTTGAAGGAGGCAACTGCACCATGCCATTGAGGCCGTTCACGCCAGAGAGATGATCGGGGATAGCGGAATACAATCCGGTCTCCTCGTTGGCGATATATGCAGGCTCTCCCGTCATACCCAGAGCTTGCTGAGGCGGGGTGATTGGTTCGAAAGAGATGCCTCGGTTGCTATAATCCTCGTACTGAGAGGAAACGAAGGATGGGGCAGGAGAGTACTCTAAACCGTAGGCAGGCATGGACGCATGTCTTTGATGGCCGTGTGTGATTGGGACGCCGTTTTGGTTATACTGAACACGGGTGAAGTCGGGTTCTCTTTTGACGTGGGCAACTTGTTGGGGAACTGCGGCAGCCATCGGCATAGCTTCGTAAGAAACCATGTGGTCCATTGGTTCACCCATGGGCGCTGCCATGGTTTGAGGCATCATGCTCGGGGGTGGCATAGAGTCCATGGCCCTCATTACAGGGGAGGTCGACTGGCCTTGAGAAAACGATGTCGCCTGCTGGGCATTGAACGAAGACGAGTTGGCTTGTTGCGTCTTGGTGAGTTGCTCGTACAAGGACTGAGATGAGTCGTATTGGAAGGACAACGCAGGCTCGCTGACTGCCACTGTGGTGGCTTCCTGGCCCATCTTCTCTCGCTTCAAATCCCGCTCAAGGGCGTCCAAAAAGAGGCGGTCATGTGGAACACTGTACCAATAGAAAACCTTTTGCTTCTTTTGTGTCCGAATGCAATTATTCTTGTAGAGGAAGTCAAGGAATGCACTCTTGGGTTCCTCCAAGGACGCATCGGTGCCAGACTTCAGGTTTCGTAAATCAGAGAAAATACCCTCTTCAAACTTCTTAGAGTTTTTGACAGGGCGGCCAAATGCCTGGAATCTGAATGACAGGCATCGTACAATGTCGGTGCCAGAGATATGAAAGAGATTGTTCCACAAAACGCAAGAGACATATTCGCCGGTGGGCAGTAAAAATCGGCGAATGTACTGGTCTGGTTGCCAATCAACTGGCGCTGAGATGAGAAAATATTTCACTGCAAACATCAGCGGTTAGCAAATACAAATCACCAGCGACAAGGGAACCCATCCAAGACATGGTTGCTTCATGCTGCAACATACAATTATCTACTTGCTGAAGTGCAACCTGAGCATCGTGCGGCAATGCCTGCTGCGCTTCGGTACTCAGCATGAAGGTTTCTGGCTTTTGAGGTGCCATGGTGGCATGTTGTGAGTACATGGTGTCCACGTGTTCCACCGACTGTAGAAACCAACGCTCTCGTCCCAACCAGCAATGACAGTTCCTATTGATGATTGGCCGTCGTCACAGAGTGAGTGTAGGTGGTGAGAGAGATGGCAATGCAGCCAAATGCACAGTCAACACTAGTTGGATTGCTGCGATGTTTCGACCAACAATCGCGTTTCGGAAGGTGAAAAGTAACGCTCAAGAGGCACTGCCTTGATTGGCAATTGTGTCGGTTTCGCGACGGCAACGAGGAAATATTCGAGACCAGCCCGGATAGTCGAAATTGATGGTGCACTCAAGCAAAGGGACAGCCCAGCCCAGCCACTGCATCAAGCGAGTTTGGGTCGGGCGCGATGAGTTGGCTTGTTTTGGCCGTCGAGGCAGGATGCCGCATTCAAGGCAAGCCGAGGCCAGAGATTTAGCACGGAGCCAGGATCGAAGCGAATTAAGGCGGAACAAGAAAGAAAGCAGAGCCAAGAAGATGCAAGACACACGAGGTCACCAGGCCCGAAGATGGATATCCGATATCCCGTCAAACAGCCAGCTGCATTCGAAGCGGAAAAAGGGAACGGCGGCAGGGGAGAATCGCGCCCAGTGACGACCGTGTCTTGAAGACGAGAAGACAACGACGGGATTGGACGGCGCGAGGGACGACGTGGCTCAGGAAATGGAAAAGAAAGAAAAAAGAGACGACCCGAGGTCGAGAAGGGGAGGATCAGAGTGGCGGGGGGGGAGGAGAAGAAATAAACGTAGAAACGACGAAGAGGAGGAATATACGGAGCACGAGGGTGGACGAGAGTCGGGGGGGTTTATGGCTCAAACAGTCGCTCGAGTGGTCGCCCAAGCACTCACAGAGGCCGTGGCGTCGGGGCAAGGCGGCGGCGGCCGGGAGCCACAGTCAAGTGCTCAAGTGCTTAGGGCTCGAGGAGGGGACTGGAGCCATGGGAGCATGGGAGCATGGGAGCATGGCATGGCATGGGCCCAGGAAAGCACCAAAGAAGTCTGGTTCGTCCTCGGGACCAGCTGGCGGGAGAGACGGGAGAGGGGACTGAGCGACAGCGACTTGGCTGAGCGGCCGACTGATGGAACATTAAGCTCGACGGCACATTCGAGTCAACGCGGGCTGACTTGGCTAGCTCAGGCACAGGCACAGGCACAGGCGCTGGCAAGGGCTGACCGGGGTCGATATGTTAGCGGCACAATGAGGAGACCGAGACCAGTCGAACTGACGGGCATCTGGGCCTGGCAGGCATGGCGGGACCGGTCTTTGGTCCAACCCGTTGAGCGAACAACATTGAACGGGCAGGCTTGATCCCTCTGATGGTGTGGAGACAGCCGGTGGGCTGGTGGACGGATGGACTGGCAGCTGGTGCGCGAGAGGATTCCCCGGCGCTGAGTGGACGAATCGAACTCGGACGACGACGTGGGACTGGTCAGTGGTGACGGGCAATGCCAATGGCCACCACCGTGGACCACCAAATGGCATGAATTGGCTCTGGCATGGGCGGCGCGCGGCGTCACAAAGAGAAAGGCAGCCATGTTGCGCTGCGACTTCGGGTACAAATTCGTGCTGCCATTGTCCAATATTGCCAGTGTATTTTCACGTCGCAAAGTACTTTGACTTGAGCTTCTGGCTAATTCACGTATTGACTTGAGCTGGACGGAGAACGGAGCATCGCCCCCGAGGGGTGCGCAAAGCTGGCTGCAATTTTTGGTCCCAATGCCAACAACATTGAACCAGATTTTTTATTGACCTCACAAGCATGTCTCGCCTCGCCCTACTTCAATTTTACTTGTAGGTGCCTGCTAAGTGCTTAGAAGCCCGCGAATTGTCTGGGCTTTGTAGTGGCTTGGAGCCTGTGCGGCGTGCGGCGTGCGGTGTGCGCAGCGGTGCGTGACTCCTTCCGTCCCTCTGTCATCGTCATCAGCTCAATGTTCCTTCCATCTCTAACTTGGACAGGCTGACGTTCGATTACCTCAGGCACCCTTAGTAGGTATGTGCGGAGCAATCCCTCCCCCTCACCTAACTTTGGGACGTTATCAAGAGTCGTGCTCATCAGCATTGAAATGTCCTGGCGCGTCAACTCTCCTTTTTTTCTTTACCTTCCGCCTTCACCATTCCTACTGCACTGAACACAGCCTGTTAGACGCACAGCTTTATCTGGGATCTCGTTGCGAGTGGGGTGGTTGAAAGTCATCGTCTCAGTGGGGTGTCTTAATGCTTCCTCGAATGTCCAAGCCTTTTTTCCTACCCCCCTCCCCCTTGCCGCTGCATCATGAAGCTGGCCAGTGCTCTTCTCTGTCACTACTCATGCCCATTTTTATCGCCTTCTTGCATCTTTGGCAGGCAAAAACACTGCGTTGCGACTCCGTAAGTTGTACTCCTCGCCATACATACTGTACTAGTAGCATTACTATGTACTCCGTACATACATTATGACTTATGCACGACAGAGGCAGACTGTGCCTACCCACACATGTACACAGGACCCCAGGCAGTCGATGCGTCGCGGTCTCGAGTTGCGCGTCACTGGATCCTTTTGCTCGGAGACCATCTTCATCCACCTACTTACTGAATAGTATAGCCAGGCAAGCTTGACAACTACGGGTTATATCCAGCTATATCGAGAATTCGCAGTAAATTCCCGACCAGTATCATTGCTCAGATCAATGCTGCTCTCAGCCATCAGGACAACAAATGAAACATGATTTAGACTTGCGCGCCCATGTGTTCCCCCTTAGCCGCTCAGGGGTCCACACCTTTCACCACCTCAACCAATCGATAGAGAAGGCAAGTGGAAGAACCATCCTCCCAGCTATGAAAGCTCGCGTCTCTGTACCAAAAGCAGAGCCAGGCACAATACCCTCGCTGACGTTGATTCCTCCAGCAAGGCAAAACGCCATCGGGACGCCCTATGTTGCGAAAGCTACTTTATGCATCCATCGGCCGTCCTGGCGGGCCATCCGTGGAATGCCTTGGCAGTCGGCGGTTCCTGAGACTGCCGTCCGAGCCAATCCACTTTTCACTACAGACCCTTTGTTTTCAGGCACGAGACGTGATGACTGGCTGAATCTAACAACCGCCAGTGACGGAAACTAACAACTCCACGGATTGGTCACTAGTACTAGAAGTACGGAGTACCGCCATGCATTCCCGACCCCAACCAGTGTGGTTCTCCCAATGTGCATGATAATAGTACCGACCTTGACCTAGTTTACTACGTCTCTCCCTGGTCAACATTAATCGAGTAAACCTTGGCCTCGGAGCGTACCAGCATACATATGATAATACTAATACTTGATGCGACGAGTTTAGTTCCTTCTGTTCCACCAAAGGTAGGAAAGAGAACGCATTACACGTATTAGGCCCAGGCGGCCAAAAAAAGAAACAACTTGTTCACGGCAACAGGACTGCATGGGGCATATGATATGTACTAGGTCTTGTTGCGTGTCTCGACTGGATGTTGGTCTGTTCTAATGCGACCCGGCCTATACGCATATACCTTACCGATATCCAGAATCGAGAAGTTATGGTTCTCTAATAGCACATTGCTACCGAGCGCCTTTTCAACCATTCGCAACCAAAGACGACGCAATCCGAAAGCCACTGTAGGGGTCGGAGACACCAATGGAGTTCTCAAAATATCATCTGAGCCAAGACTTGATCGCGACCAGCATTGGCAACTATAATCAAAATGTGAATGTTTCCAAGTGTATCGGTCATGTTTCCACACAACAGAGGTCAGTGCAACCTTTATTTGCGGCTGCCCCGCTGTTGATTTCTCGCCAACCGATGCGAATGGTGAATGGGCAATGGCAGTCTCACTGACCTCTTTCTCGCAATTTCGGATACGCAGTACACGGACGGTCGAGATCTAGTGTTACTGCCACGAGAAACTAGACTCAGCTCTGCGACTTCTCCGTACTCTGTACGGAGTACCAATGCAAGCAACAGTGGGGAACATGTGGGCTTCATGCGCTACGCGTGCCGCTGATTTATTAGGGCTACACTACAAGAGTACCTGAAAACCCCTTATCCAAGTTTCCGTCTTACAGGCGCATTCGAGCCTTTCCACACATGCATGCTTTAGGCAAGCAAGACACCTGATATGATATTGCCCGCAGACTCACTCTGATGAATTTCTAGCCAACCCCAACCGAGCCGGCCACCAGCCATCTTTTGCTTGCGTGCATGTTGACAATGTGCGACCCCTTGTCAAGTCCATGTCGAGGCCAATGGCCATTTCGACTGGGCACAAGTGAGCACTCGAGGGCTATGTTGCTAGGCCTGCTAAACATGAAACACGCCTGGAGCACCGCTTCAGAATGGTTTCCCGTTTACGGAGTACGATTAATGGCAATCTGGCTCTGGTTGGTCCGCAGGCGTCCTCCCACACCCCTTCAAGTCTCCATTCCCACGCACCTGCATATCGGCCCACTCATAAACTGGAGCAGCTAGCACTCATATCCTTACCTCTGGGACGGAGGTTCGGCCGACAGGGCCATCAAGTACGGCTGGGAAAGTTTGGTCGGCAACAGCGTGTACGTACATATGTACATACATACAGTACGATGCTATCCATGTAGTGTCATGGAGAAATACAACTCTCTGTGTCCGGCTGTTCCATGGTGAGACCGAGTTTACCTTATTCATGAGCACACATGTCAGGGACGGTTTATGGCGAACCACGTGGATGATGCTGCACGCTTTCATAAAGTATCCATCCAAATTGGAAAAGGGTGGATTTAGGGTTGCCAAGCGTGGTGTAGGGTAGCAGTTCTCGCCAACCATGGACGGCGGCGTCTTCTGGACCTAGGCTGAGGAGACGGATCGGGAGCTGATTCGTGTATTAGGTAAGGCCTGGAGTGCCCGCAGTTGCCGCGTTTCGGGATACGTACCATTCGAATAGTATTTGAATTTACTGCTTGATCGTCCCGTCTAGCCGACGAGACTGAAAACCGGGACTGGGACATAGCTGGCACTGTGACGAGGC